GCAACAACAAGCACATTGTCAAACACATTCTTTCCTGCAGCACCTGTGTTTCATCTCAGTTCTGCTTAACTGTCACGATGCAGGTTCAGAAGGCTGCACAAAACAGTAAGAACCTGGATTGTCCCATCTAGTTCCATTAACGATGTCATTAAATCTTAAAATTGTAAGTCAATTGAAGCTAAGTAACATAATCATTTAAATTGTCATCTACAACGTTCACATTCAGGTGCCACTTCATGGAACTTAACCCTCTGAACCCCAAAGTGGGTTTGAAAAGCATGTTTAAAAAAAAAACAAAAAAAACACCAAAATGACATCATTTATCAGAGCAAGAAACTACAAAAATAGAAAAAAATGTCAGATTTTTGACTTTTCAGTAGTTCTTGAACTAGTCATGTGTAACATGTTGTGCTTTTGCAAAAATTAACTAAAATATTTAAGCTTAAAATCGTGATATTTTATCAAAATCACTTTTTGTACTTTTCCCATTTTTAAAAAAATGCCCCAAAATTTGCTATTTGCACAAACCAAAGTTTTTTAAAAATCTGCATACCCTGAAGCAAATGTGGAATTACTAGTGACTCAACAGCTACGTGACAAAAATTCAGCAACAATCATGTGTAACACGCTGTTCTGTTGGAGAAATTACCAAAAGTTTAAGCTTAAAATTGTGATGTTTTACCCAAATCACTTTTTTTTGGGACGTGTCTCATTTGCAGATATGACAAACATTCACCATTTACACCAACCAAAGTCTGTAAAAAAACAAAAAAATCTGCAGCCCTCAACACAGCTGTGATGCTCGTAGTGACTCGACTGCAGCCAACAGTCGCCTGAGAAAAATTTGGCAAATTTTTGACTGAACCTGTTGAACTACAGACAGAGGGCAGATGGCAGCCAAGCATGGGACTAAACTAATAATGTAAATAAAAAAATATGTAGAATATATTAATGCATCATTTCATTTTTCAGTATTCTTACCAACTGTGATAGATAATTTGGGTTTTGTTTCAATTTTTGTAAATTAATCGGGAAACAAAATGACACAACTGCAGATCTTCTATTGTTTTTTTTTTTTTTAAGTCTCTACAGCTCTTAATTCTACTATTCAAAGAACTTAACTTTCTCTGCACTAATTACCTGATAGAATGAGAAAGCCAAAGAAATAGAAACTGGTTTTCCGTCTGTGTGTTCTGTGTGTGTGTGTCCTCCTTAATGCACTGCCAACAATATCATTACCAAAAACCTTTCCGCACGCAGACACAATGAGAAATAACAATACAGATTTCAGCACAAGCAACCAATTACAGGAGCTAATGTGCAATCGTGTTAGCGTCGTGAAATATGAGCGCTCGCCCTCCCTGCGCCGCGAACGCTAACTCTCGCTTTTCATTCACGCCGAGGATGCTGCACCCTGGAGGAGACGCCTGGAGGAGGAGCAGGAAGACGGGGGAGACGGGGAGAAGATTTATCTCTCCCAGCAGATGTGGAGAGCAGCTCCTTGGGCTCCCAGTCAGCAGCCAGGACAGTTTACAAGCTGCAAAATGGATTGATTGTCCATGGATCCCTGTCCCTGCGTGGCTGCCAACTGTGAGCTAATTAAAGAACACTTCTCTGGAGAAACACTGAGCAGCAACCGAGCACATTCTATTTACTCTCGAGAAGATGTGCTGTTCTAAAACCCCTTCAAGAAGGAAAAACATTTCAAACCGGCTGCGGCAGCGACTGTGTTGAGAAATAGCACGAGATCCGCAGAGATAAATTTAGGCTTCGGTATTTGCATTGCCTTGTTATGAGTCGGTAAATATTTTGGTGAAGCTGCTTCCATAGTTTTCTCTGACATTCAATGGCGAGAAGGTCAGAGAGGGGAAAGAAAAAAAAAGGCAAAAAGAAAAGTGGTTTTAATCATCAATTTAAAAATGAATGGCTGCAATCTCTCTTTCGATCACACGCTGACTCTCCCGGGCTTTAAAAAGACAGGCGCTGGGGCATTCATCAGTTTGCATTCATTTCTCTGCACGTTTTAATTTTCAGATAATAAAATTAAAGTTTCGGTCTCACAGTTGCAGAACTGCGCGGCCGTCGGTTGATGGACGCACATTTTAAAATCACCGCACGCCAGCATGAGTCAGTGTGAAGAACAGCAGAGGAAATGGGTTTTGGGGGTGAAACTGACAAAGAAAGGAAGAATAGTACAATCTGGACCCAACTGTAGTAATTTCCACTTATTCAGCTGATGTATCAGTGGGTCTATACACTATTTTTTACTTCACTAAAGAATTATAACAGTAGTAAAGCAACAGCTGCATTCACAAACACACGAGTGGCTTTGTCATGTGGTTCTCATGCATGATGTTATTTCTAACTTCTAAACTAGTGTCTTGGCTTTTTCACTGACTTTGGGCTGTTTTTTAAAACTGCAATATGAAATCCTGCAGCTGTACAGAAGCAGCACAACCATGTCTAGAAGTAGAGAGAAGTGAAAAATGTCTGACTTCACGTCACAAAAATTGAAAACATCTGGAATCGGCATCAACACAGGTGATACCAGAGGGGCAAAAAACAGTAACTCTACACACTAAATATATTATACCATTTGCATTTTTAATTGGGTTAATGGGTCATGTTGTGTAAATGATGTATTTCTCGAAACATGTACAATCATTTAAGTTTAAAGAATAAAAATAATTAATCTTGAGGGTTTAGTCATTTTATGTTATTCATTATAATGCTGATTTATAAAGATTTGTGTGCTTGTGAGGTATGTTGTTCTGCAGGACAGGGGAGGAAACAGATGAGTGTGCGACTGCGAGATGACCCGACAACCGATAACCTGGACGAGCTGCAGATGTGGACAGGATGTAAAGATATGGGCCGTACAGTCCAGGGAAGGAACAAACGAACAGGAAGATGTGAAACAGCTCGTGTGACATTTTGTGCAACCTGTCATGTGTGTCATGCAGTATAAGAAAGGGTCAGAGGAAAAGGTCTTAGTCTGTCTGATGCTCGGGAGAGTCTGACCCGGAGCTCTGTCATGCAATATTCAGTGTGTGATTAAATTGATTAATTGAGACCGCGCTGAATTTGTTTCATCTTTACAAACGAACTCACGGAGAAAAGAGAATCTTCTCCAACAGTACACACAGCCTGCAGTTCAACCCAGTTCGGCTGAAAGGATCAGAATTTTTTGCTGTGGGACTCTTGGTCACAGCTGAGCCAGAATCCGGTTCGTAGAAATAGTTTGTTTTTTGCACATTTTTAAATGAGACATGTAAAATAATATGATTCTATGAAATACATATAGCATGAGTCACAGGTGAGTAGTTCACGGACCATTGGAAAGTTTAGAATTCGATTTTATTTGCTTTGTTTGAACCGTTTATGGCTTTGATAAATGGTGCTTTGTTGGTAACTTTTGGTAACTTGCCATCAGGTTTGGAGCTAAATAGCTAAATCTGAAAGGAAAGTTACTAGTTTTGCAGGTTTGTAGTCATAAAAAAAAAAATCAAATACGACCTAAAATTAGGGAATATGCTGCATTAAAGTCCATCCATTAGCTGTTGAGACATTTCACTATGAAACCCAGTCTGCTGGTCGGTGCTAAATGAATTAACAAGACATTAGTCTTCAGGCTGAATCTCTGAACCAAATTTCACAGCGATCCAACAGTCCAGCCTGGCCCGACGTGGTCAACAGAACAAGCCACACTGGCTCAGAGTGCCGCTGCTGGTGAGGTTAGAAAGAGCTGCCAGAACATCGCTGTAATGAAGGGACGAGGGGGGGAGTCGGGAGGCTGTAACCACTTATAAACACTCACTAACGTTCAAGAGAAATTTTCCAGCTCACTAGCCTCTGGGAACCTGCCAACGGGCCGCAGCGCGCTTACACATAACACTGGATCGGCCCTTCTTTCAATTCAGCAGATTAAAATTTCCTCAAGCTTTGCAGAAAAGAAGCTTATAGAGTTCCTCTGCAGCCTTGATTTAACCACTAAAACCACTAAAAAGTCATCAGGGTGTCAAAGTTTTCTGTTTCTCCCACTAAAACAACCCTATAACTGGCTTAGATGTAACTCTATACTGCTGCTTACTCTAGAATGTGCAGATCTATGAAGGCTCCACTGCAGCTCGAGCACACCAGCTCACCTACAGCTTTACTCGAACGCTGTACAAATACTCTGTGCTGCACAATTCAGGCGTACATTTTAAAACTGACTCTGAATAATGACGGATAAAATCAAACCCTGCAAGCTGGAGCAGATTCTGGTTTGTTATGAATGAAATTCTGAAAGTCCAAATGTTTGAGATTTTCATCTGTACGCTGCAGTCTCAAGGTGGAAATGTTCAGCCATGATGTTGACCACTTATCTTACTCATGATGCATCTTCCAGCATATTAAAAAACACCAAACAGACATATTAAAATGGCTAAATCTGTGTCTAACGAGTCATTTGCAAAGCTAGCTTAACCCCATTTAACAATACAAACACAGATCTCCTTTCCCTTCTTCCCGCCTGTTTAAACAACCTAGAAGTAAATAAAATAGGCAGCATGCCCCTCATCTATATATCAGTGACGTGTTTGCGTGCATGCAGACGTACCGGTGCAGGAGTACTCGTCCACCCTGATGAAGCCGGGCAGACAGTCACAGCGATGGCTGCCGGGCAGGTTGACACACACTGTGTTGGACTGGCAGTAATGCATCTGCGTGGCACACTCATCAATATCTGAGGACAAACAGAGCAGATACAGTGGATTAATAACTCCCCGGCAGTTCTTTAAAGACACACACGGACTCCTCGGGCGACTCGTGAAGCGGCTGAATGAAGCTCACAGAACTGCTTCATCAATGTTGCTTTAATCACGTTACAAAGGAAGGGTCTCCGGGCAATCCTTTGTTGCTTACAGCTATTAATTACAGGCCTGCAGAATCCACTGATCAATCTCACAGACAAACAAGGTAGCTTTTTTTCTTTTTAAATTCCCACTTTAATAGATAAATCCCATGTTGTTTAACCCTCTCAGCTCCTGTCACACTTTCACTCACTGTGAGCTCATTTTTCACTACAATATAAAGTTCTGCAGCTCGACAGAAACAGAACAACTATGGCTAGAAGTAGAGAAAACTCAACATGTGTTCTGAGGAAGATGACACAGTGAGGATGCCACAAATAATCAGAAAAGAAAGTTGAATTACCTTTAATATTTATTTTCTCAAAAAAATAGAAATAAAAAGGAGGCAAAACGTTCAGCAAGTGATGCAGGTGATACAAAAACTGGAACAATAAATGGTGGTGCTATGTATTACAGAACATTATACTGCACGTAGTTTATTGCTCGTATGTTTTAATACAGTTCCATACTCGTCCTGCTGTTCAGGCCAGTTTACCCAAAAAGTTGCAGAATTTTTCTCATGGGACTGTTGGTTACAGTTGAGTCACTAATAGTTTCACAGATTCATCGATGACAACTGAATTTGATTTTTTATTTTATTTTTTAACAGATTCTGGTTTGTGCAAAGGCTGCAGGGTGGTTCAGTGGTTAGCACCATTGCCTCACTGCAAGAAGGTCGCTGGTTCGCGTCCCGGTGAGGACACCTGGGATCTTTCTGCATGTTCTCCCCTTGCAGCATGGGTTCTTGCTCCGGGTTCTCCGGCTTCCTCCCACACAGTCCAAAAACATGTTGAGGTTAATTGGTGATCCTAAATTGTCCGTAGGTGTGAATGTGAGTGTGCTTGGTTGTCTGACTCTGGAGTCAGCTGGGATAGACTCCAGCCCCCCTGACCCGAGTGAGGATTAAGCGGTGTATAGATGATGGATGGTTTGTGGAAATGACTTATTTTTGGTAGATTTTTAAACAAGACAGGACTTTGCTATCTGCTCTGTGTAAACACAGCCTGCAGTTCAGCTGAGAAGTCCCTGACTTGTTGTAATGTGACAGCTGGTTGAAGCGAAGTGACGGCTTCCTGGTTGAAGAATGCAGAATTTTTGTTCTTTAAAAACTAAGTCAAAGCAAATGGTTGGTTTTTGGTGAATTTAAACGGGACACATTGAATAGGAAGTTCAAGCTTGGATTTCACTAAATTTGGCATGTCGGCGATTCCTCCTGTTTTTACAATTTCTGGTTATGATAAATGCTTTAATTTTGGCATTTTCTTTAAAGCCTTTCTAATCTACCGGTGGGTTTTGGAGCTCAGAGGGTTAATTAGAGGAATAGAAAAGAGTCGTGATAACTAAAGAGAAAACAAAAAAATGGTAAAACGGCATGACAGGTGCAAAGGAGAAAAAGGGGAGAAAGAAATAAACTGTGAAAAAGAAAAAAACAGAAGGAAAGCATGCAAAGAGGAGAAGGAGAAAGAAAAGGTTGATGAGATAAGGACACATTAACCGGAGAGGAGCGAGGGGAACAGGGCGAGCAGCGTCGGCCCTGACATCCATAATGCACTACTAATATCATGATACATTACATCTCCTCTTCATACACAGACTCTCTCCTTCCTAATGTAGCTTGAAAGACATTGTATGAGCATTAAAACAGCGAGCTCAGGGAGGCATTAGCCGAGCTGGATGACTGCTGATGAAATGGGACCGGAGACACACACAGGGGAGGTGTTATGCAGAAGGGCCTAAATTTGTAAATGTGTATGCGTGTATTTGTACAGTACGGCGTATTTATGCGGATGCAAGCAGCAGAGAACCCGTTTCCTGAGGCTAACAGGCCTTTTCCACCACTTAAGGGACTCTGCATGCTACACTTTAGAGGGAAGGCAGAGAGTATGAGGGGAGCATTTCCATATCCTCTCCTTGGATAAATACATTCCGGCTTTGAGGTGTTCGGCTCATGCTTCCGCCTTACAACCGAATGAATGCGTATGAAATATGTAATTGACTTACATGCAACACCCAGAGGTTTTTTTTTTTTTTCTCGGTAAATTTCATCCTTGGAGAGTGTACAGTAGGGGTGTTGAATTGCACAATCAAAGAGAGACGGATCGCGTATTCCGCCGCACAAAGCCTCGGCGGCCTTCAGCGTAAAAAGCATTGATCTGCTACATCAAAAACATGGAACTTACTTGAGTGCTTTGAGGCTGCGAAACAGTACCTGAATCCAATTTTCATCTCATCCTGAAGCACTACTCCGCCCTGAAAGCCACTCATTTGATTACCCTTTATTGGGCGAAAAGGCGCCAAAGCGTTGTTCAAGGGTGACGACAGGCAGCCTGTGATGCCGCCGACACGCAGCCTCAATAATTCAAAGTCGAGAGCTCGCCGCTTTTGTCAGCTTTCATTTAAAGCGAGAAAAGCATCTGGTGTCAAGTCTGAGGCATGATGAGGCTTTTTTTTTTTTTTTGATCTCTGTTGTTCCAAGGTCCTGGATCCCCGGCGTTCCTACCTGTGTGTGCATTCACCCTCTGCAGCCTCCTCTGGGAGCCTTGTTGCAGGTGAGGTCTGCTGACAGAACTGGAACTGTCATTTCACACAGGGGGGAATTCATTTTTCTGGATTTGCCAGTGTGACTCCCTCTCTCTCCCTCTCTCTCCCTTCCCTCCCTCCACTCCAGACCTCCTTCCTCTCCTCCTCCTCCTCCTCCTCTCAGCTCACTTTCTTCATCTCGCTGCTGCTTTATTCATGCTGTGATGTAGGTCAGGGCTGGGTAGGGGAACAGCTAAAAATAAGGCAGGATAGGACTCTCTGTGTGCATGTCTGTGGATGAGTGTGTGCGTGTTTACTCCAGCTCATCACTTTGTGTGTAACTTTGTGTGTCTGGGAGAAAAAGAAAAAAAAAGTGTTTGGATGCTGAGAGGCGGAAGATTCTCCGTATTGTTTTGTCTGTATGTGTGTGTCGGTGTCACCTCTTACTGTAGAGGTTAATGGAAACAACTTTCCGTCCATATTGCCTCTTGCTTCCTTTATTTTCTCCGCCCTAATGAGCCCAGATTGTGCGTGAAGTGTGCGTGTCTGCACTGATCAGTCACTCTGAGCAGCTAATTTTTTGGTCTGTTTGAAGCCCACCGGATGAAGCTGCCGCCTTTGAATGAGACACGGATGGAATTTAGAGACACTTTTTGACTTCAAACGCGCTCACCGGGTTTTTCTTTTTCGACAACTTCGCTGCTCGAGACAGACAGCGGAGAAAGACGAGTGTGTTTGCGCGTTTCTCGAAAGGTTTTGGCGCTCATGAACCAACACCGGGGCTGATTGGAAACAGGCGGGATAATCTGAGATGACCTGTGGGACACCGTAATCTCACTAATCCTTTCTTTATGAACATGTTGCCATGATGATGATGCCACCATATGTCTCTGCGGCGAATGTTTTAGTCGTGCCGTTCTCTAACCGGTTTCTGGTATTTAATTTGTAAATGCCTCGTCCAATGTTTGGTGGTTCAGTAGGAAAAAAAAAAAAACACATTTTAAAACCCGGTCTTTGTTCGTCAGCTCTGTTGAGGGCCTTTCATTTCTATTAACCTCTGAACAGCAAAGCCAGCTGGAATGTTTGAAAGGAATGTCGTGTTTACAAAATTGTCCAAAAGAAAAAAAACAAATAAAACAACATTCAGAGCCAAAAGTCTACAAACAGAAAGAATCACAGGGTTTATTTTTTTGTTTGTTTGGTTTTTTTTTTTCACTTTCCTACGGTCCCTGAACTTCTCTTCAGCTTAAAATTTCATCAAAATCACTTTATTCTGCATATATTAGCTAAAATTCACCAAAAATAAGTGATTCGCTATAACCAGAGTTGGTAGAATACAATAAATTCTGCATTTTTTGGTGCAGCTGTGAAGCCAGTATCAGCTGCAACCAACAGCCTCAAGACAAAAACGATGGGATTTTTTTTGGCTGAACTTCCGGCTGTGTTCAAACCACAGACTGTATAAAAGATGGACGTAGCTACCGTGACGTCACCCGTTGGTTTCTGCACTGAGAAAATGAAGCCAGGGTTTTGCTACTTCCTGGTTGACATCTTGGATTTTTGGAGCCAATGACGCAAAAAATCGTGGGAGGGGGGCGGAGCCATAGGAGCAGCAATTGGTCAGACGGATTGAGAGGCGGGCCCTCTCTGCCCGCCAACATTTACCGCCTTCTGCTCGCTTCGTCTGTATGGTCGCTGCCGACTGTCAATCAAGCCAGCCACGCCCCTTGCCCCGCAAAATGTTGACGATTTATTAAAAATTCAGTATTGATTTATTTTCAGATTGGCCACCTGATCTCTGGATTTGACCATGAAAACTAATAAGAAAAAATCCTGAGCTGTAGGAATGCAGCATTTGGTGATCTGTGATCACTTCTTTTCCAATTCCAGTCTATGGGAGTCAGCAGCTCGCGGACGTAGGTTTTTGACACTTCCGGGTTGGCTTCATTTTTCAGGGCCTGTTGCTACGTCCATCTTTTATACAGTCTATGGTTCAAACAGGGCAGATAGGAGACAATTGCAAAAGAAAACTAAGTGTGTAAGTCACTAAATCCTGCAAAGATGGATAAAAAACAACGAGTTTGGATCCTATGTGACTCAAAAAGACATGCATAAAACTCACGGTTTCTGTTTTTGTACCCAGATTTTTACAAATCCAACCAACAACATGTAATATGAACATTTGCCGCTTATGTAAAGCATTTCCTCCAGATTTCTTCAGCCTTTGCTCTTGGGCCTGTTGTTGTTGTTTTTTTTAATGAATGCTGAAATAGATTCATCTCGGGCAACACAAATCTTTTCATAATCAGAACTG